AGCTTTAGATGGAACTCTGTTGAGTGTGTGTGCTGCTGTTTTCAATGCATATCCCCAAAATGATTCTGGCAATGTTGTCAGACTAATCATGCTCCGGACCATGTCTAGCAAAGTCCGATTTCTCCTCTCAGACACTCCATTTAACTGAGGTGTCCCCGGAGGAGTGAGTTGGGATAAAATCCCATGCTCTTTCAGATAGTCATCGAACTCCAGGCTTAAGTATTCACCTCCTCGATCCGAGCGGAGGGTCTTAATACTTTTGCCTAATTGTTTTTCTACTTCGTTCTTGAATTCTTTGAATTTGTCAAAGCATTCCGATTTGTGTTTCATGAGATACACATATCCAAATCTACTAAGGTCGTCAGTAAATGTAACGAAGTAAGAATAACCACCTCTAGCTACAGTGCTAATTGGACCACAGACATCGGAGTGTATGAGGCCCAATAAGTCACTCGCCCTTTCACCGTGACCGGTGAATGGAGCCTTTGTCATTTTACCAAGTAAACAAGATTTACATACATCATATGACTGGAAGTCAAATGAATCAAGTACACCAGAACAATGTAACTTAGATATGCGTTTCTCGTTAATGTGGCCCAAACGACAATGCCAAAGGTACGCGAGATTTAAATTGTTGGGTTTGTTTCTCTTAACATCTACGTTATACTGCGGTATCCATGTCAAGGACATAGAGACCGTTCGTCATTTTTGCACTTGCATAAAATATATCATTTCTAAAGACAGAAAGAGTTTTGTCTTTTACAACGAACGAAAATCCTGCTTTGTCAAGGCAGGGTACAGAAATGATGTTTCTGCTCATACTAGGTACAAACAGACAATTATTCAAATGCAATATAAGACCACTAGGTAGAGATAAACTATAGGTTCCGACGGCCAATGCATAGACGAGTGCGCCATTGCCGACTTTTAGTTGTATCTCTCCCTCCGTCAATTGTCTACATTCATGCAAGCTCTGCATAGAAGTACAGATGTGAGAACCACATCCAGTATCCATCACCCAAGAGGTGATATCAGACATATTGACTTCAATAACGTAAATTCCTAAGTTTTGGGGCTGACCCTGATAAAGGTCTCAAAAGCATTATATCATAGGACGCACTTCCATGTCCGCGTGGAGCCTTTGGAGCTCCGCGGTCATACTGGCCATAATGATACACTTTACATCTCGCGCGTCGTCCTCATACTTTTGAAGGAAGTGAGTTCGAACGCACGAGCATCAGCATCAGGGGTCTTGGGAGGATCTTTTTCGAGGATGTAGAGTTTCCTCTCATAGTCAAGAACGATCCTGAGGTTCATCTCCCAGTCAAGAAAGTAGGTTCATCTCCCGGTCATCAAATCGTTTCGTCTTCTAACCACCACGTGAGAAAAGAGTCCTCGGTTGAGGTAAGAGAGAGAAATAGATTTACAACAAGAGTTTAAGAGATAAGGCACGACACGCAGGCCGTATTATAATCAAATAAACTATAGCCACAATCATCCACCATGCATATCATACATCCACACAAGCAATAGAGATATACATACACCGGGTGAACCGCGCTCACCCCAGACAGTTCTAGAAAAATACTACGGCAGTAAATATTTTCTAAAACTCATAAAATTAAATTAGATTTCCAAATAAATCTAATAAAATTTTATAAAATCATTTTATATACTCTAGATATTCTGCCAGCATAAAAAAATATCCAGAATATTCCAAATGACCAAAATGCCCTTTTTGCAAAATTATATTCAAAAAGGCCATTAAAATTTTGAAACAATTTTGAAAAAATCATGAAAATTAAATTTCAACTTCCAGTAATTATTTTCAACATTTATAAACCTGGAAATAAAATTT